TAAATTTTGGTCAATGACATGAGACAAAGTATATGTGAACTGCTGTATGAAAAGTGAATTTACTCTGTAAATCTTCACCCAAATCCTAATAAAAAAAAGAAAAATACCTGCAAGACACCAGCACAGAAGCTGTCAGTCAGTTTTTAAAGGGAAGCCCTTTGCGGTTTCCTGTGGGATTTGCTCATTGTCTTATTTTCTTGGTGTTCTGGTTACCTAGTACCACTCTGACAAGAGTATACCACAAATAGGATGGCCTTAACAAACAGGAGTTTATTCTTACAATTTGGAGGCTTTAAGTTCAACTTCAAAGTGCCAGGCTCTAGGGCATTGGTGAAAGGCCCTCAGTCTTGGGGTCCAGCTCTGCTTCCTGCTTCCAGCCCATTGGAGCTAGAAGTGTTTCTTCACTCAGACAGCTGCTGGCTGCTGTGACTGAGAAGCCCCAAGCTTGACAAGTATAAAGGCACAGTCCCGGTTTTACCAAACCATATGGCAGGTCATTAACTTAAGTCCAATGTAAGTTCCACTCAGCCAGACCCAGCCAAGTTGACACACAAACATAACTACAACACTTGGTGAGTTGAATATTGGAATGGGAGACACAGTCATAGATCCATATAAGCATGCTCACCTGGCCTTGTATCAGACCTGCTCTGGGGGTAATGTCCACATCAGTGGATCTGGAGGGCCTATGTCTCATTGGTGAGTCATGGGCAGGTGTATGAGAACCATGTCTTCTTGGCTGCAGAGATCAGTGCAGGTGGGATGCAGACCCAGCACAGTAGGGATCCCATGAGGTGCGAATGCCTTCTGCTGCATTGGAACTTCAACTTTTATACAAACTATGCACGGATGCTCACACCTTCCTCTGCCCTCAAACCTCAGACAACACCTGCAACGGTTCTTGTGTGCCACTGAGAATAAAGTCTCCTCCCTCAGTTCCCCCTTGTCTCCTACAGGCCAGGACATCATTGGGAGGTGGTGGCCATGAACCCAGCCTTCTGTGTCACCTTCTGGAATTGTTGAAGTAAATGCACAAACCTCAGGTCTTGCTGTACATGGGACTCTGGTAGTGGTCCTCTCATACCACATGCTCTATGTAAAACCACCCATAATCCATGTTGTTGTTGTTGTTGTTGTTGTTTGCCATCGAGTCGGCCCCGACTCATAGCGACCCCTCCTTGGGTTTCCAAGGCAGTATCACTACGGAAGTAGGATTGCCCAACCTTCCTTCCGAGGAGTGGCTGGTGGGTTTGATCAGCACTATATCTACAACCCAATAAGCACAAAGTGCCTGGTCATGGGGTCCCTCATCCTTTTCCGTAGCCAGCATTTATAGCTGAGGCTCCCTTAGCAATCTTCCACTAGTCAGGACTGCAAATAAGCCAGCCCAGGGTTCCCTGAGGGCATATGTGGTGCTGAGACCTGTAGGGCTGAGGCCTCATTGTGCTCTCCTGAGGCAGGACTCACACTCTGCCTGCAGGCTTCATAATACAGGCAGCCCTGGTGACCACACCACTCCCAGGGCCCTCTCAGCCCTGATCAGGGTAGGGAGAAGGACCAGACTGTGGAGCTCTTCTGACTAGAGCTGGGACTGGCTTTTAGGCCTCAAGGGAAGGTACTCCAAAGTGACCTATGGCATCACATGGCAGCAGAGAGTGTAGACACTGAATCTTCTGCCATCCCTTCTCTCTTCCCCATCTTGTTTTCCAGGCCTGGGTACTCCCCTGAGTCCAAATGAGGTGATCACACAGCTCTGGGCTTTGGCTCACATTCTTCCTCTCCATTACCCAACCCCACTCAGCTCTGAGCCTCCCATTTCTATTCCTATTGCCTCCCATGAGCATTCCCTTCCTGCCACCTCCCATGGCCACTCCTGCTCTCCAGCTGTGGACATAGGAGACCTCCAAGGTAGGGGCCAAGCATCATCCACCTTGAATGCCCCCTGCCTACACATGAGGCACGAGGACTAGCTTGCAGAGTGAACACTGCTCTGATGAGGGGAGATTATCTGTCCATAATCATTAAGTTCATCTATGGACAGAAGGATGACTCCTGACTCTGTGGTTGTAGGGCTAAGGCTGCTGATGAGCATGTGTGGTTATCAGAACTGGCCCCGCAATAGGCAGGATTGTGTCTGGATGATGGGGCTAACGATAATCTTGCAAACGTGGTTATAGTCCAGTGTCACATTTATCATTCTAGAAACAAGAGAAAGGCATTCCTGTTTCTTTTTCTTTGAGTCATCTTAAGAGACTTGTAAAATTTCATACCTCAAGAAAACTGAAAATTATTTGAAGTCTAATATAAGAAAAAGTAAAGGATATCTCTTGTGAGTTTTATATAGCCACTCTAAACTATAACATAAACACTCAAAAATGTTCATATTATAGACCACAAGGTAGGTCATAAAACAAGCCTTAATAAATTTAAGAACACTGAAATAATGCAAAGCATCTTCTCAGATCACAATGCTATAAAATTAGAAATCAATAATAGGAAGATCAACAGAAAAAGAGCAAACCCATGGAAACTGAATACACCCTCCTTTAGAATGACTGGCTAATAGAAGAAATAAAAAATGAAATAAGAAAATTCCTTGAATCAAGTGAGAATGAAAATGCAACATACCAAAATCTTTGTCACACAGTCAAATCAGTCAGAGGCCAGTTTATAGCAATAAAGGCACACATCAAAAATGAAGAAAGAGCCAAAATCAACACCTTAAACCACCATGTCCAGCAATTAGAAAAAGAACAGCAAGAAAAGCCTACAGTCCACCACAAGAGAGGAAATAATACAGATTTAAGCAGAAGTCAATGAAACAGAAAATAGAAAGACAATAGAAAAAATCAACAAGACTAGAAGTTGTTTTATTGAAAAGATTAGTAAAATTGACAAACCACTGGCAAATTTAACAAAGGGGAAGAGGGAGAGAATACATACAACACAAATAAGAAATGAGTTGGGGGACATCACAAAAGAACCAACTGAAATGAAAAGGATAATATCAGGATACTACAAAGACCTGTACTCTAACAAATTTGAAAACCTAGAAGAAATGGACAGATTTCTAGAAACACACTATTTACCTAAACTAACACAGACTGACATGGAAAATTTGAACAAACCCACAACAAAAGAAGAAACTGAACAGGTCATAAAAAAATTAACAACAACAAAAAAAGTCCTGGCCCAGATGATTTCACTGGATAATTCTATTGAACATTCAGAGAAGAACTGACACCAATCCTACTCAAACTATTCCAGAACATAGAAAAGGATGGAATCCTCCCAAATTCATTTGATGAAGCAAGCATAACCTTGATATCAAAACAAGGCAAAGATATCACTCAAAAGGAAAACTACTGACCAATATCACTCACAAATATAGACGCAAAAATCTTCAACAACATCCTAGACAGTACACTCCAACAACGTATCAAAAAATAATACATTATGACCAAGTGAGGTTCATATCAGTTATGCAAGGATGATTCAACATTAGAAAAACAATCAACATCACCCATCAAATAAATAAAACAAAGGAAAAGAACCACATGATTATGATAATAATCATGTCAATCGATACAGAAAGGCATTTGATAAAATTCAACACCCTTTTCTGATAAAAACTCTCAGCAAAATATTTATAGAAGGGACATTTCTCAACAGGACCAAAGGCACATATGCATAAACAACAGCCAACATTATTCTCAATGGGGAGAGACTGAAACCATTTCCTTGTGAACAGGAACCAGACAAGGATGCCCTCTATCACTTCTATTCAACATTGTATTGGAAGTCCTAGCCAGGGCAATAAGGAAGAAAAGTAAATCAAAGGCATCCAAATTGGTAAGGAAGAAGTCAAACTATTAAACTACTTCTATTTGCTGATAATACAATCCTATACCTAGAAAACCAAGAGATTCAGTTAAAAAAAAAAAAAAAAAAACTACTGGAACTAATTGAGAGAGTCAGCATAGTGGCAGGATACCAAATCAACATACAAACATCAGTCGGATTGCTCTACATCAGCAAAGAGATTGCTGAAAAAGAAATAAGGAAATCAATACCATTTACAATAGCTACCAACTAAAAATAAAATACTTGGGAATTAATCTTACC